TAGTAGATGCTGACACTATCTATCTTATATAAAAAAGGCAAATTTGTGAATATGTGTGTCTGTTCGAAAGGTTTAGCATACCGTGATGGCGGGGAGGAGGCCGTGATGGCGTGGAGAATGCCGTGATACACTCACTCATTTTATACTGACTCACTCACACATCATACACTGACTCACTCATCATATGCTGACTCACTCACACATCATACACTCACTCACACTACCAGTGACTCACTCACACATCATACACTGAGAGTGTCATGCTGCCAGCTATGACTGCAAGTTTGGTTGTACAGTGAGGGAAAAAAGTATTTGATCCCCTGTTGATTTTGTACTTGTGCCCACTGATAAAGAAATGATCAGTCTATAATTTTAATGGTAGATTTATTTGAACAGTGAGAGACAGAATAACAACAACAAAATCCAGAAAAACGCATGTCAAAATGTTATAAATTGATTTGCATTTTAATGAGGGAAATAAGCATTTGACCCCCTCTTAATCAGAAAGATTTCTGGCTCCCAGGTGTCTTTTATACAGGTAACGAGCTGAGATTAGGAGCACACTCTTAAAGGGAGTGCTCCTCCTAATCTCAGCTTGCTACCTGTATAAAAGACGCCTATTCACAGAAGAAATCAATCAGATTCCAAACTCTCCACCATGGCCAAGACCAAAGAGCTCTCCAAGGATGTCAGGGACAAGATTGTAGATCTACACAAGGCTGGAATGGGCTACAAGACCATCGCCAAGCAGCTTGGTGAGAAGGTGACAACAGTTGGTGCGATTATTCGCAAATGGAAGAAACACAAAAGAACTGTCAATCTCGCTCGGCCTGGGGCTCCATGCAAATCTCACCTTGTGGAGTTGCAATGATCATGAGAACGGTGAGGAATCAGCCCAGAACTACACGGGAGGATCTTGTCAATGATCTCAAGGCAGCTGGGACCATAGTCACCAAGAAAACAGTTGGTAACACACTATGCCGTGAAGGACTGAAATCCTGCAGCGCCCACAAGGTCCCCCTGCTCAATACATGCCCGTCTGAAGTTTGCCAATGAACATCTGAATGATTCAGAGGACAACTGGGTGAAAGTGTTGTGGTCAGATGAGACCAAAATAGAGCTCTTTGGCATCACCTCAACTCGCCGTGTTTGGAGGAGGAGGAATGCTGCCTATGACCCCAAGAACACCATCTCCACCGTCAAACATGGAGGTGGAAACATTATGCTTTGGGGGTGTTTTTCTGCTCAGGGGACAGGACAACTTCACATCAAAGAGACGATGGACGGGGCCATGTACCGTCAAATCTTGGATGAGAACCTCCTTCCCTCAGCCAGGGCATTGAAAATGGGTCGTGGATGGGTATTCCAGCATGACAATGACCCACAACACACGGCCAAGGCAACAAAGGAGTGGCTCAAGAAGAAGCGCATTATGGTCCTGGAGTGGCCTAGCCAGTCTCCAGACCTTAATCCCATAGAAATCTGTGGAGGGAGCTGAAGGTTCGAGTTGCCAAACATCAGCCTCGAAACCTTAATGACTTGGAGAAGATCTGCAAAGAGGAGTGGGACAAAATCCCTCCTGAGATGTGTGCAAACCTGATGGCCAACTACAAGAAACGTCTGAACTCTGTGATTGCCAACAAGGGTTTTGCCACCAAGTACTAATTCATGTTTTGCAGAGGGGTCAAATACCTCATTAAAATGCAAATCAATTAATAACATTTTTGAAATGATTTTTCTGGATTTTGTTGTTGTTATTCTGTCTCTCACTGTTCAAATAAACCTCCCATTCTGTTACGCGTCGTCGCTTTAAGATGTTCTCTGTTCATATTTTGTTTGTTGCGGTTGTACCCAACTCAAGAGCCGCATGGCTCACAGGGATATAGCAAATAAATGAAACTTTCCGACATGCAACCAACTAATATTAAACGGGAATAGGCCGATTCTAAAGGAATCTACAATCTTCCATTCCTTTGCACGATTTAAAGAATCGAATCGGGGCGTGCTTGGGTTTTAATTTTCATGAATGAGTTTTCTTTTCATTTGTATGTTATGTTTGTAAGTTTTCAGAAGTTTTAAAATATATTTTTCCCCCGGGCAACGCCGGGTATTTGCCGCTCGCAAATAAATTAAACTTTCCGAAATGCAACCAACTAATATGAAATGGGAATAGGCGAAAGTAAATAAATGAAGAGAAATCGCACAAAAATGAGATTTTTACCACTTTAAAGGTGAAGGATTGGAAAACGGAATAGCCTATTCCCACCGCGACGCTTGGGGCGTGCCGCCCGGCAATTTTTTGTTAGCCTAAACCCCACCGTCAGAGCGCCAAATCCCTCGCAAGCGCGCGTGCACAGAGGGACAGACAGACAAAGAATAACGTTTATAGGTAAAAAATATATATGCATTATTGAGCCCACCCCCCCCCCCACCCCACCCCAAAAAAGTGTATTTTTTTTTATCTTTGCATGGTGTGCAGTCTGGAAAGTACCCACATGGCAAATTTCAAGTTTGTTGCATGTCGGGAAGTACGCAAAACATTTTGAACAGACACACATAATCACAATTATCCCTTTTATATATAGACTAGCTGTACTACCTGGCTTCGCCCGGGACTTGGATTCACGACGCCCGGCCGCCTTTGTCTCCCCAGTGGCGATGTTCACACACCACACCAATTACTCGTTTGAGGATGAGTCGACCTAGGGGAGGCCCAGGACCAGTTCAAATAATCGTCACCGGTGGTGGCCGTGAGCGGGAATTGAACTCGGGTCGCCGGGTTCGTAGTGCAGTGCGCTAAGCACTGCACTACTGCTCCCCCCCACACACACACACGCGCGCGTGTCCTTAGGTACACATACACGTGCTTGCTGCAGACACACACAACTTCCAGGGTGCGTACGGTAGTAAACGACTGAAATAATAAAGCAATGCTGCGCGAAGAACGCCTCAGACCTGCAAAACATTTGTATTTCACTTTACACGCGATCAGCAGGCACACTCCGTTACGCTTCCGCACACGGGTCACATGACAGATGTGACGTCACAGCTCACTTGCCGTGCAAAATATATGCATTATTGCGCCCCCCCCCCCCCCCCAACAAAAATACAAAAGTCTATTTTTATAATGTTTGCATGGTGTGCAGTCTGGAAAGTACTCACATTTTCAAGTGTGTTGCATGTCTGGAAGTACGCTAAACATTTTTAACAGACACACACATTCACAAATTTCCCTTTTATATGATATATGTAAGATGTGTCTTGATTTTATAGGTAGGACTACCTTCGTTTACTTTATACTGTAAACTATTGCGATGCCCTCTTTAGTGGGGGCGAGTTTTTACTCAAGCAATAAATTTAATGAAATTAATGAAATGGACCAACGTACAGTATACAGAATCAGAATATTTATTTATCCTGGAGGAATGCCATGAGCTATGAAACACTTTTTATTCACAGCTGTCCAGTCGGGATGGGTGAGAGAGTTGCAGCAACAGAACAACAGCTGCGGTAGGAAAGGTGAGCTCCCGTGCCAGCAGCGGTGATGGTTAGCGCCGGATTTGCAATCCAGAGGTCCCCCGATTGACCTCCCGGCGCGGCAGTTGAAAAAATGGGCAAGTTTCTTACGTAACTCTCTCTGTGTGTATCCATGTCTATTCTCGCACTTACTATGCACGCAGCCCTGGATACTGCAATTTCCATCCCCAACCGTCTCGCTCTGTTTCTCTGTAATTGATGTTCTCTGTCTCTCTCTTTCTCTCAGTCTGTGTACAAGCAGTCATCGACTTACGAACACCCGGCTGACTAACGTGTTCCCGTTCATAAGTCGAGGCCTGTCCATATCACTTTGTCTCTCGTCATCTTTATACTTTATTTTGTTGTCGACTGGAGCCGGGAATAAATCTCGGGTTGCCAAACTCACAACGCAAGTGCGCTAACCAATGCGCCACCGCTCTACACTATTCACGAGTATATTTGTTACATTTTTCATCTCATTACATAAAACAAAGACATGTACGAAATATGAAAAGAGTAGAAGACCGGGGACAGAGCAGAGCCTCACCATTCTGGCGAATTGCCCGATGATGCTGGATGCAATTACCAGCGACACGTCGTACTCAAAAATTGTAAATGTTGTGGTTTTACACTTCAACACACGGGTGGGCTAAAGCAGTGAACTATTTGTATTTTGTCAACGTGACACTTTTTTTACTGATTGGCCGTGTCGGGTGGTGGAGGGTTACGACACGTTTATAAATAACGCGATCTAAACCAAAAAAGTTGATTATGAATAATATTGGTCGCGAAAGCCTACATATTAAACAGAGTAACACCTCCTTCAAATATCTGTCCCTCTACATAAAAATTATAAAGGATTGTTTTACACATTCCATTATGTACTCATAGACTGTTCTATGAGTACATAATTTCAGCAGCATTGGTTCAACATAAGCAACACTCTGTACCGGTTCGACAGTCAGTGTCTCATCGGCAGTCAGGCTCGCTTCAACCAATGCCGGTGACCAGCCAGATGCCTGTAGGCAAGGCGAGTATTATATTGTTATATATGGGTCCTAGTTTGACACAACAGCTCTCTACAGCAATACACAGCACAAGGCAACGATTAAGCGCCGTTGCGACGAACGTAAATGGGGAGACGCATTGGGAATTACCAAGAAAGCAAAAAGGGTGATTTTGATAGTTACGAGACAAACGCCTGAGTACACGGATTGTCAATCCGTTTCAATGTCACTCAGACTCTCCATAACGACGCTTATGATTGTCTTGTGTTGTGCTAAGACAGCACGTGGTTTTTAGGGGATCCCTTAAGGTTGTTTTGAGGAGGCGATGGCCTTGAAGCGATGGTATTGAAGATGTGTTATTTGATGTTAATGTTTAGACAGACGTTAGCCCCTGTTGTTGATTACACGAATCCGCGGACAAATCTCATTCCTGCGTCAGCAACATTGGAGCCACTCAGCCTCTTCTTTTGAAACGGCAGCAGCAGCAAGAGGGCCGGGTGGATAGCGAACTCCGGATGGGACTGGTTAACATTAACGGTAGTCGTAAAAGTTAAGAACTACTGCCCTAGACCGTTGCAGAGTTGGTCGGTAAGTTCGACTTTCGTTCGATACTCGCAACCGCATCACACACACACGTCTCAAACCAACTGCTGCAATGTGAAGCTGGCCAGTTGTGAATTATTTCACAACAATCAACATTCTGATGTGAATCATATTTAAATGTGTGTGGAAAACGAATAGACGATCCCGTACACGCGTGTTATCGCACCGATGGGAATGAGCAGGCAAACCAGACGTCTGAGTCGGCTTTCTCTCCGCTTGTCCGCGATTGGGTTCATTCTGTAGACACGACTTGCACTCAGTGTGATTAATGATTGGACAATTACCGTTATATTTAACTCAGTAGCTGTAGAGAAAACGTGATTACGTTGCACACTAGTTTGCTTTAAACCTTTGGACATTTCGTGAATCGAGCGACATCCTGAAATTGTGTGCGTTGCAGTAAGCTTTGAAACCTCTGAAGGGTAAGTGGAATTATACCTATGCTTAATAAAGATTCTAAATATGTAATGTTAATAATGTTTTTCGTAAAAGCCAATTGAATCTCAAGACTCATTTGCAGGAAGGTCCATCACTGGGATATTTGGCTAATTCTATTCAATGTGAATTGTGCGAGTATAAGAAACCTAGTTGAGGTCAAAGGTTAAGGCGCAACCCTGCAATTTATTGCTCTGGCCGCGACAGGCGGAAGAGTCTCCACTAGAGGGAGCTCTAGAGAGCCCCTCTAGAGCCTCTTCTGGTCTACTTCTCCATGCTGGCGCAGGTCGTGGGTTCGATTTCGACCTGGACGTCTGCTCTGTATTTGGAATTTGCGTGTCTCACTCCTCGTCATCGCGTGGATTTTTCTGCAGGTCCGCCGGTTTTTACCTCCACATCTAGAATCAACATCATCACGCGTTCAGAGTATTTGGCTGCTATAAATGTGCACACGATGATAAGCCCACTTACCTGGTGAAATAAAAAAAATTGTATAAATTGTTCAATCGACCTCTTGAATGAGTTCGGGGTGCGCACGCTTTGCCCACCCATACTTTACCCCACCACACTTTACCCAGCCACACTTTACCCCACCCACAATTTACCCCACCACACTTTACCCCACCATACTTTACCCACCCACCATTTACCCCACCACACTTTACCCCACAACAATTTACCCACCCACGCTTCACAAATCCACACTTTACCCACCCACACTTTACCCCACCACCTTTTATACACCCACACTTTACCCAGCCACACTTTACCCACCCACACTTTACCCCACCACCCTTTACACACCCACACTTTACCCCACCATACTTTACCCACGCTTTACTCACCCACACTTTACCCCACCACACTTTACCCACCCACACACTACCCAGCCACACTTTACCCACCCACACTTTACCCCACCATACTTTACCCACACACACTTTACCCCACCATACTTTACCCACACACACTTTACCCCACCATACTTTACCCATACACACTTTACCCACCCACACTTTATCCCACCACACGCGGACATTAACATCCATGGGGCTATCCACACAAACTTACTCTCACTTGTCCTTGAGGAACTACAGTGAGGGAAAAAAGTATTTGATCCCCTGCTGATTTTGTACTAAATATGCAAAGGATAAATATGTTACGGATCAATGGAGTGGGGGGTCGCAAGACATCTGGAGCACCCTCTACAATACGTATATAGCATTTTACACAATAGTTGTAGTGGCCTTCTGCTACAATTACAGTGAGGGGAAAAAGTATTTGATCCCCTGCTGATTTTGTACAAATAAACCTACCATTAAAATTATAGACTGATCATTTCTTTGTCAGTGGGCAAACGTACAAAATCAGCAGGGGATAAAATACTTTTTTCCCTCACTGTACACTTTGAAGTGTGTTTATTTTCGGTGTTTATTTCAAGTATTTTGTATTCGGCATCGACAAGACAATCTTTAAATACACAACAGGCATGTTAAGGGTCTGGATCGAACCCTCGACCTCCAGCATACCAGGAAAGAGAAATAACTCGCCATATATTTTATACGATAACCCTCCACCACCCGACAGAGCCAATCAAACAAAGTTGTCACGACATGAGTAAATGTGACAACCGTTTGAGTTGTTTTCAGTAAACCAGAGGAAGATCGAAAGGCAACCAAGATGTTGACAATTTTTGTACGAAGTTGCACTGGAGATGACAATCAGTGTCGTGAGGTGTTTATAAAAAAAAACCCTCAGATATCGCGAGCGACCTACCTACACTATCCGACCCAAAATCAACTAATTATAACCAATGATGATCTTGGTCCTGAAAGCCTGCATATAAAATTTAACTGAGACACCTTCAATGCTTAATTTTTTGTTTAAACGTGATGTTAAAACTAACGAATTTTTTCGTTTCTTTGTCATTCTATCATAATAATATCACGTTTTTTTCCCTTGAACAGCACCCCGTCAATTTCGCGAAATTTGGTACTGATTTCATCGTCATGCAAGGACTGCCATACATGCTGGGACCAGAATGTCTCACCACACTCTACAGTGACAGTGCCATAAAGTTAATCGAGAGACACTTCAACTTGGTGACTTTAAAAGATGTGATGGGAAACAGCGACTTGGCCCAAAAGATCGAGGCCATCGGCATTTTCTACTGGGAACCGCGGGTCACCAAGGACCTCCTGGAGAGTCTGCCGAAGCTCAAGACGGTGGCGAGCGCCGGGGTCGGGGTGGATCATCTGGATCTGCCTCTCCTGTGGAGCCACGGAGTCTCCGTGTCCTACACTCCCGACGTCGTCAGCGCCCCTACCGCCGACATGGCCATGGCGCTCCTGCTCGCCTCTGCCAGGAATCTGGTGGATGGTATATTATTGTTTTCACTAGCCTTTTGCCCGTCCAAGGACGGGAGTATTTCAGTAAATCTCAAACTTGCAAGCGAAAAGCTTACCACGACATGATATTCATTGCATCAATTTGTGTGTAATTTGTAAGGCTGCGGTGACACAGACAGGGTGTTTCAAAAAGATGGACCCAATTTCAAAGCAGTATATTTCACGATTCTGGATTTGAAGCTTTCGTGATTGCAAGGATTCATATTCTTAGGTTTTTTCGGTAAAGTCACGTAGGTAAAACATCAAAATTAATAAAATAAAATAAAGATCACGACGTTTCGGAGGCAGCACAAGTCTCCGTCATCAGGTGGGACCGTCACAGCCAGATTAGCTGCATCACGTGAGGCATGAAATTGTCTTTTCCGAGACCAAGGTGCTCTGCAAACCTCCTGGCTACCATCAAAGGTTTGTACACGAAGCCATACAAATATACAAACACAGACATAATTTCAACCGTGATGATGGTTACAAACTGAGCAATCATTGGAAAGATGTGATTAACCATGCAAAAATAATTTAACTATACTTATTTGGACCATCTTATTTGACAGACAACTATTACATGTTATTGATAGACAGCCAGGCTTGTTTTACCAGGTTTAGTTTCTTTTTTCACACTTTTGTTACGTAGGCTAGGCGTAGTCACAAAAAGATCTCCAAAATTCTAAACAAACATAAGATCCAAGTCCGATTCAGTACAGTGCATAAAATCCGTGATCTGATTCCATCTGTGAAGGATGTCGTTCCTGACTTACAGTATCCTGGAGTCTACAAATTGAGTTGCAGTTGTGGTGATTGCTACATTGGAGAAACGAAACGTCATGTTTCTGATCGTGTCCGTGAGCACAAGTCAGATCTGAAACACGGCAGAACTGATTCTTCGGCCGTTGCCGATCATTGCTACAACTCTGTGGGCTCTCATGAAATTGTCTTTTCCGAGACCAAGGTGCTCTGCAAACCTCCTGGCTACCATCAAAGGTTTGTACACGAAGCCATACAAATATACAAACACAGACATAATTTCAACCGTGATGATGGTTACAAACTGAGCAATCATTGGAAAGATGTGATTAACCATTCAAAAAAGATTTAACTACACTTATTTGGACCATCTTATTTTACAGACAACTATTACAGGTTATTGATAGACAGCCAGGCTTGTTTTACCAGGTTTAGTTTCTTTATTCACACTTTTGTTATGTAGGCTAGGCATAGTCACAAACCGTACCTCTCCATAACAAAGGCTCAGCCTTTTGTTATGCAGTCTATTCTTAGTCTTAAGCCTCACCTTACCATATTAATAAAAAGTGTGCCGTACTTGGCCCTTCCCCTCTTCAACCATTATATATACGGAGTGGTAGCTCTTGTAATCTCTCATTTACTTGATACAGCTGTCGTGGCTGTGACGGTTCCACCTGAAGACGGAAGCTTGTGTTGCCTCCGAAACGTCGTGATTTTTATTTTATTTTACTTTTATTAATTTTATTTTTTTTCCTACGTGACTTTACCGAAAAAACCTAAGAATATGAATCCTTGCAGTCACGAAAGCTTCAAATCTAGAATTAGAATCCCTTGTTCATCATGACGTCTTTTTTACTTATATGTCTCAATAGCGTTACGGAGATCGTGTGACGTGAGGGTTCTGCCTTTGTAGTGAGGGTTGTAAGTTAACGCTGAGGAGGGGGTGGAGGCGCCTTGCCCCCCCCCCCCCAAGTGGAGTGACGTCACATTTTCATGATTATTAATGTGGGGGGCTGTACGATGTGGAATGACGTTACCTGCTCATGATTATTAATGAGGGGGTAGTCCATTTGGAGGACGTTACTTGTTCATGAGTATTAATGAGGGGGACTGGCCGATGTGTAGTGACGTCACGCGTGGGACACATAAACATTCTTGACTCATTATAGTAGTAAATAATTGTTTTGATGCAAGAGAAAAGTCTCGAAAGAAGCCCAAAACCTCAAAGTGACGATAGGTAGGAGTGTAAACACGTTCCTTGCAATGAGCACGGTTTGGACAGGAGCTAGGGGAATAATTGATGATGGGACGGAGTTCCAAACTTGAGCCATTCGAGGGAAGATGCAGAAAGAGAAGTGTTGTGGCTTGCAGGAGTGTGGTGAGTTGGTCAGTGGGTGATTGAGTGGTGAATGTGTAGTTGTGACTTGCAGCAGTGTGGTGAGTGAGTGGGTGAGTGTGTAGTTGTGACCTGCAGTGTGGTGAGTGGGTCTGTGGGTGATTGAACAGGTGAGTTTGTAGTTGTGACCTGTGGTGTGGTGAGTGGGTCAGTGGGTGATTGAGTGGGTGAGTGTGTAGTTGTGACCTGCAGTGTGGTGAGTGGGTCAGTGGGTGATTAAGTGGGTGAGTGTCTAGTTGTGACCTGCAGTGTGGTGAGTGGGTCAGTGGGTGATTAAGTGGGTGAGTGTCTAGTTGTGACCTGCAGTGTGGGGAGTGGGTCAGTGGGTGATTAAGTGGGTGAGTGTCTAGTTGTGACCTGCAGTGTGGTGAGTGGGTCAGTGGGTGATTGAGTGGGTGAGTGTGTAGTTGTGACCTGCAGTGTGGTGAGTGGGTCAGTGGGTGATTAAGTGGGTGAGTGTCTAGTTGTGACCTGCAGTGTGGTGAGTGGGTCAGTGGGTGATTGAGCGGGTGAGTTTGTAGTTGTGACCTGTGGTGTGGTGAGTGGGTCAGTGGGTGATTGAGTGGGTGTGTAGTTGTGACCTGCAGTGTGGTGAGTGGGTCTGTGGGTGATTGAGTGGGTGAGTGTGTAGTTGTGACCTGCAGTGTGGTGAGTGGGTCTGTGGGTGATTGAGTGGGTGAGTGTCTAGTTGTGACCTGCAGTGTGGTGAGTGGGTCTGTGGGTGATTGAGTGGGTGTGTAGTTGTGACCTGCAGTGTGGTGAGTGGGTCTGTGGGTGATTTGAGTGGGTGAGTGTGTAGTTGTGACCTGCAGTGTGGTGAGTGGGTGACTGAGTGTGTGTGTAGTTGTGACGGTGATGTAGCGGTTAGCGCACTGCACTAGTAACCTGGCGACCCGGGTTCGATTCCCACTCACGGCCAACACCAGTGACGATTATCTGAACCGGTCCTGGGCCTCCTCTAGATCGACTCACCCTCAAATGAGTACCTGGTGCGGTGTATATCGCCACTGGGGAGACAAAGGCGGCCGGGCGTGGTGTTGGCCACCCACCCCCTCGTGTGCCGTGCTGGCCTTTATAATAGCTGCTCGCTAACAGCACTTGCCCCAACAGTCTGTTCAGGCTATACGGAGAATCTTTGTCTTTGTGTAGTTGTGGCCTGCAGTGTGGTGAACAATGTGGATGAGACGAAGCAGTCACTCTGGTGGAGTTCGCCGTTCACAGGGACAGTGCTCGCGGTGGTAGTCACGAGCGAAGAGTGGTAATAATTCACAGCGAGGATTACACGACCACGGATATTCTGACAGTCGCTATCTGTGTATTGCTGTACTCATGAATGTTGTGCTCTCGATGTATCCTACACGTCCTCGCTACCGTAACTTTCACAAGTTTTGATTTAAAGCTTTCGCGACTGCAGGGATTCATATTCTTGGTTCTTTCAGTAAAGTCACGTAGAAGGGAAATAATAAAATAAATATCTATATTTATATTATTTTATTTTTATTGAAAGAACCAATAATATTTCACAACAAGGTTAGGGCCTATGACTTAACAAAAAACTTTCCAACGTATGGTTGTGTAAAGTAGGAGCCGACACCAGATTGCAGGGGTCTCGTCCTTTATTCCTTTCCTTCCATCCACACCTGTCCCCCAGCCGTCCCAATCTCGTTCCCGCCAAAGGCCCCTTCTTCCCGCCCGTTCTCTCCTTATATCTCTTCGATCACCCCTCCCACTAACCCATCTATTGGTGGGAATCCTTCCCCTGACACCCCTACATCACCCCCCCCCCCCGGAGAAAAAATAACCGTCCTCGGTTCTGCCTCCCCCATGGACCATTTAAATCTCCCCATGCCTCCCCCCACTGACAGTGACGACAGCCCTTACCCCCCCCCCACAACCATACAATGCAACATAACACAACGAAATCAATTGCGCGGCCTGCCCAGGTCTCCAGCCAGCATCCCGTAACAGCCCGGACATCCACAGGCAGCAGATGACCGTGGCGGCCCCCTCCTTCGAAGGCCCTCTCGTCGCGGTCCCTGGTTCGGTGGTGCCGGTGTCGCCTTGCCCGGCGCCGCTGTCTCTCCGGCCCCCGCTCGTGCCGCCGCTCCGTCAGGCCTCACATGGGGTGCTGTAGGTGACAAGGGAACACAGGGCACCGAACCCCCTGCCGGTCTGCGCGTGGTGGTCGGCGACCTTGGCCTGGGTAGGGATGATGATGATGTTGGCAGTGATGTTGGTGGTGATGTTGGTGAAGATGACGGTGGAGAGATGTATGGCTTAAGGCGGGTGGGGTGTACAAACCATCGTCGCTTACCCAGTTGGACCTGGACGCACTGCGGTCGGAGTGCTTTAATGACCTCGACCGGCCCTTTCCAGGGTCGGTGCAGCTTTGGTGAGAGGCCAACCGGCACCTGAGGACAGTGTAGCCATGCCTGGTCCCCGACTTTGAAGGGCTTGGCTGTCACTGTCCTCTCCCGTATCCGTACATTACTCTCTTGGCTCGTGGCCGATGCGGCCTCGGCTGCTTGGCGGGCCTCTCTCAAATAAATGAGGGAGGTCTTTAGTGCCTTCGGCCATGCGTCGGCTCTTGCGGGAATGTCCGTCAACTGCACCTCAATAGGCGGAACGGGATCCCGTCCGTACATCAGGAAAAACGGCGAGAACCCCGTCGCCGCGTGTGGGGCCACCCTGTACGCCGCTAAGACAGATGGAATGTGGAGGTCCCAGTCGGAATGGTTTTCGTCCACCACTTGGGACAGCATGGCCGCTATGGTGCGGTTAAGCCGCTCTACCATCCCATCGGTCTGGGGATGATACGGAGATGTTCGGACCTT